CTATTCTGATTATAAAGGCCCCTATACTACGGACGAACCGTACAACTTAAAACCTCACACAACCAATAATCTTCCTTAACCTGCATAGCATAGGCCCTCCAAACCCATAGAGCCCCTCTTTAGCTGGCCCCCCAAACCCTGAACTTTAAACCCTAGAAACCCTCAAGCCTAACAACCTTCAACCCCAGAAGCACGAACCCTAAACCCGAAATTCCCGCGCCCTATATCCCCAACCGTCGAATCAACCCCTAAGGCTGCCTAAAACCCTATAACTTGTTGATTCCAAAACCACAAACCACCAAAAAATCGAATGATCTTTTGCTCCCCTTGCCTTTCAGTCCGGAACTTGAAGAAAACAACGCGCCACCAGAGCTTGCTGCCTCCACGAAGGGCACCCTACGGTTTAGGTTACCCTAAGGGTCCAAAGGACCCAATAAATTTGGTACTCTGTTTTAGGATGGTCGTTATGTAGGTTATTATTTGGGAGAGTAAATGATTATTAGGTACTTAGACCCTTAGAATTTGTGGAGATTCATTGATATAGGGCCTTAATTATTTCAATAGGGTTTTGGTGCCCAATATACTATAACCGTGATTCATTATAAGGAAGCCCCAAAATAGTATTAGTTTAGTAACTATTAGGACACTAAGGGTCCAAAGGACCCGAAAATTTGGTACTCCGTTTTAGGGTATTAGTTACAAGTATGTAGGTTATTATATGGGAGAGCATATGTTAGTTATTAGGTACTTAGACCCTTAGGGTTACAGTAGGGCTTAATTAAGGCTTCAGAGTGACAGGTTCCGGGGTTTCTGGCTTAGGGTTGGGGGTAGCTTTGCACAAGAGGAGGTTGCAGGGCCTATGTTGGTGCATACGACTATTTTTAGCTGCGTTTTATGTTTCTAGTCTGTGTGGGCGCGAGTGCTGTTTCGCACATTCACCAGGCATGGTTTGATGCATGCGTCAGTTTTGCACCTGTGACTGCATGTGTCGTGCGAATGTCCATGTTTTTTTTGTGTTGATGCGTGTGGGTGCGTGTTTGTATTTCGCAACTCCAACATCGACTCCGAAACCCCAGCGTGCGATGTTCAATCATAGTTGCCCATGGGGTCTGCGGTCTGCTCCGTTTCTGTTCCAAGACCCCAGCTCTCCCCGCCCCACCACCAGCAACACCACCATCCACCATCGCAAGGTCGCGCAGCCCAGCCACCATTGACACTAATCTTACATGACACAGTGGACTTTCTCCACGTGACGGCTGATGTATGTGGTTTAGACCAAGACTTACTTTGTTCAAGAAAGTTATGAAAAAAAGATGTGGGCAACGCTTGCTTTACGGCCCATTGTTTACAACCACCCGGCCTTGTTTGCAAATGGGTCGTCTATAACGCATGGGTAACTCATGAGTCGTAGAACAGATATGTCAGTGTGCCTGTCTCGTGGTGTGTAGACACATGCTGCTGCTACATAGCTCAAAGGTCCAGTCTGAGCGACCATTATATACAGGGCCATGGGGATGTGAAGGCATTGTATATCAATCCGGGAAGATTAAACAATGCATGACCAAGCAGATGATGCCTTGTGTTCTGGTGTTGGGTGGTTTGAAGACAGGATGAAACGTATTGCAGTGGGAGGATGTACGGCTTCATGAGAAACATGTCGCGTCTATGCAGCATACCTCAAGGCTTGGTTTGAAACAGTCAGCAAAATCACGTTATCTGCGGTGTTTCCGGTGTTTCCTGGCTAATAAAGCGGTGCAGTACCGTTGACGTCTGACAGCGTGACTATGCATAGGTTCTAACTGATGTGAAAACAAGTTCGTTATCTAGGCATGTGAGTGACTGCTACGTTGAACTGTAATGCCGTGTGAACCCTTGGCGAAGCTTGGAGTTGTGAGAAGCCCAGACCCCCGGGAGGATCTAGAAAGTAGATCCCCTAATTTGGGGCCCTATACTACTAAGGGTACTTTATAGTAACCCCCATTAAGGGATCTACTTTTTGGATCCTCCCGGGGTTCTGGGAGGTAACTATGTCAGAAATTGAGCTTGCAAAAGCTCAGCCCCCTCCTCCTCAAGCAAGCTGCTCTGTTGCAGAGTACCTCTAAGGGCCCATTCAAGTGTACCTTTAAGATGTCGCTCTTGGTGTTTATCGATCGTCGCGCTAGGTTGAGGCGCATGCCTGAAACCTCTGAAAACCAATGACAGTTCATTAACCCTAAACCCTAAACCCTACACCCTGAACCCCTAGACCTCTAAACCCCTAAACCCTAAACCCTAAAACCCCTAAACCCTAAACCCCTAAACCCCTAAACCCCTAAACCCTACACCCTAACCGGTGGACACCAGTAAACTCTTGTGGAAGAGGCTAGGATGCTGTTCCACTCTCCACCGGGTTCTCTGCTCCAACGGTTCCATGTACCTTTATATAGCAGATACTTAGGCCTTAAAGGGGGCCCTGCGTAGGTACTTTAAGGCTGAAGTATATACTACATGATATGGGAAACTGGAGCCTTTGGGCTGGGTTTTGGATCCGCTGGGTTTTCTCAGAAGCCTAGCGAATCCGCAGGAAGCTACTCATAGACAACTTTCCGAATGGAACGTTAATATGAGACCTAGGTATGTCTGTAGAACAGTGTATATGGTTCAGAACATTAGAACCCCAACCCCAGACCCGTAAAACCCCTATGAACAACCGCTACTCATAGGCAACCGAATGGAACGTTGATATGAAACCTTGGTATTTCTATAGAACAGTGTATATATGTTCAGAACATTAGAACCCTAACCCCAGACCCGTATAACCCCTATGAACAACCGCTACTCATAGGCAACTTTCCGAATGGAACGTTGATATGAAACCTAGGTATTTCTATAGAACAGTGTATATATGTTCAGAACAACAGAACCCTAACCCCAAACTCGTAAAACCCCTATGAACAACCGCTACTCATAGGCAACTTTCCGAATGGAACGTAGATATTAATATGAACCCTAAGTATTTCTATAGAACAGTGTATATATGCTCAGAACAATAGAACCCTAACCCCAGACCCGTATAACCCCTATGAACAACCGCTTGAACTTTGTGTTGCCTTGGCGACGACCCCGGCGACACCGAGGAGCGCCAGGCCGGCACCAAGGAAGTACCTTTTTGCGTGGGCAAGGCTTCCTCCTGCTGTTACAACAGAAGTAACAACAACAGCTACTACTACTACTACTACTACTACTACTACTACTACTACTACTACTACTACTACTACTGCTACTGCTACTGCTACTGCTGCTATTGCTGCTGCTGCTACTACTACTACTGCTGCTGCTGCTACTACTACTACTACTACTACTACTACTACTACCGCTGCTACGGCTGCCACTACTGCCACTGCTGCCACTACTGCCACTGCAGCTGCTAAAGCTACTTCTACTGCTTGCTACCGCGACTGGGACTTAAACTGTCACTGCTACTGCTACTAGAATTGGAACTTTTTTGGAAGCGACTTGCAATAAGACTGAGAAATAACCACATAAAATAACAATGCGACTAATCGTCATAGCAATAGATGCTACAGCTTTATGAAATATAGTACGAACAACCGTAATGTCGACTAGTAATACCAGATAGTCTATATAGCAGCACTGACAAGTAGTCAGCCAAGTCGCCACTTGCGGGAAGTGCGCGCCTCTGGCTGGGCCTGCTGATGGCCCAGGCCCTCGTAGTCCACAACGGCATCACGGGCAATTGGGGATGCCGATGCCATGGCGAACAGCGTAGGTCGGCGGATTGCGAGAGGGGCTCGAGCGAGACTTGAGCTACGATGTATAGCACCGAACAGAAAGCAAAGACTTTAACCTAAACGCAACATAGCCGCTAGACTATATAGGAGACTCAAGGACTCTGTACAATAAACGAAATCAGCTGAGAAATCAGCAAAACAATTGAGTGGATCTTTCTTTTACCACACGCACGGTCTTCGCAGTGCTGCAACAGGAACTGGAAGTCAAGTTTCATATCGCTGGGTGCACTCTGCAGGGAAACGACAGCCCACATGTCAAACGGGATCACCATTTCGAACCTAGTAGTCACTCTTCAAGGGACGATGCAGAGGCACCACACAGTGCAGTGAGAATGCTACTTAAGAACCACATGTAACTCAGGAATAAGAAGCTGAGTCCCAAACACCATACACTGAGCCCTCCCGAATCCGATAACGATTTCTTATGTAGCACTCTCACTTGGCTGAACATGTTGGGGCCAACAGCTCATAGACTGCCGGAACCTGCGAAATCAAAGTGCCAAAACCATCAACCCAAATCCCATGGTTTCCAAATCCTGAACCCTAGGCCCTAGGTTTCCAAACCCTAAACCCTATCAAACCATAATCCCCAAACCCTATGATTCCGTTTTAGGGGCTTGTGGTTTGAGGTTTAGGGTTAAAGGTACACTAAACTATATCTCTGCTGGCCCCTGGATGTTGAGAGGCCGCACAGGTTACCCTGGAATGGCCTATTCGGGCCCGGCTAGCCCGTTCGGCGTAGCAACGGGTCCTTGCCCTTGTGCTCCATGGCTTGTTTAGGTTCCTTTGAAGCTTAGACTTTGGGGCTTACGTGGGCAATGTATCCATTAAGTAAATATATACCCTGAATCACAAGAAGGCTGTATATTGCGCGGTTTAAGGTGCATCATCAAAAGCACTAGGTTTGGGATTCTCAGGTACTGCTTAGGCAACTGGAACCCCGCACCCTAATCCCAAAAAACTGAACCCTAAACAAGCAAATGGAGCCCACGGGCTGAGCAGCTGCCGCCAGAACCTTCGAAGCCTTCTATGCAATACTGGGACCGGCAGACATCTAAGGTCGGGGCCGCTGCTACTGATACCGTGACGGGCTTCGCCCATCACGCCAAAACTTCGCAGCTCCGTCGCCTTAGAGGTCAGCGCAGTCGGAGGTGGAGGCGATGCCGGCAGCTGGGCCGTTGGTGAGCGCGGCCACCATGTCCTAGGCTCTTAATATATCTTCTGAAAAATCCACTCAAACTTAAACTGTTTCATCCAGATCTCCTCAGACAATGACAACAACGACTTTGAATCAAACCTTCTCAAAGACGGCCAAGTGTCGGAGATGTCGGCGGTGCACAGGGCCTTCTGGTCGGCACCCACTTGGCAGTCCGAGACGGCGAGGGCCGTAAACTGGGAGATCCAAGCAAAGGAGGAAATGATGTTCATGATGCCAACAGCGCAGGACTTCGGGTCAGCACAGGCGCTGCCCGCGGCACGAATCTGGAGGATGACTCGGACGATATAGGAAGCGGAGTTGGTGACGTCCACGGCGCACTGCACGATGTCGTAGTCACGGTTGCGCTGCTGGTCCTTGTGGCCCTTGATCTTCAAGGCCTTGTCGACCGCCGGCGAAGCTCCCGCCGGGACGAACTCCTTCCAGGGAGGGGAGATCGTCTCCGTGCGCGTGAGGATCTGGAGGGCGTTCTTGCCGAAGTTGCAGTCTGCCCTGGCAGCGGCGCCCACGGTGGCGATCTCGCCGAAGTTGGCCATAAGTGCTGTGAAGTCGCCAGCACACAGCGCACCGTTGTTGACAGCCTGGCCGCATGCGTTCGCCGCAAAGGACAGGTACGAGGCGATCCAACTGATGGACGTGATGAAGCCTGCGACGCTGGCTGCACATCCAACAGGAGAGTTGTTCGGGCACTCCAAGCCGTCGTAGTCAATGGCCTTGTGGAGGAGAGTATGCCCTACAAAACCTCTCCCATATTTATACATAAGCCTATAAAACACCACAGCAAACCTAACCCCTAAATCCTATACAAAAGCTGAAAAAACACTATGCACCCTAAGCCCCCTCTAAACGCATATGAGCTCGCTCAACTTCCAACCCGAGGTTATGCCGTCAGTGGCCTTGTAGAGGAACACGACAGCCTGGCCGAGGTAGGCGGCTGCCTGCACGGTGTCAATGACGCACTCCGTGCGGATCCTTAGCTTCCCAAATACATCTGAGAAGACCAACAGCTAAGCTGAGCGCTTAGGGTTAGAGGTTTTGCAAAAGCATGGATACGAAATGATGGCCCCCAAACCCTAAACCGTAAAACCTACCAACCCAAAAGTCTTGAAACTTGGGTGTAATTGGAAAAGTAAGGATCCAAGGCAGCTCCTCAGGCTGGGAGTCATAGAAGAGATCCTGCAGATGGCACAGCAAAATCCTTTATAGTTAGTAAAGATGTTTTTTGTAAATTGAAACATGAACTAAGGCACATAACTTTCTCAAATAAGCGGTTTGGAAGTCTTTGCGGCCTGCAAATTGCGCATCGGCTTGTCCTGCTTCAAGCTCTGGGCCTTTGCCAGGGTGGTTATAATTTCTCTAGACCTAAGTCACCTAGGAATAAAAGTGGATACCCTTTTGGTTTTAAGGGGGATATAGGGGAAGCCCGAAAAACGGTAATAAGGGCCTACTCTAGGTCCTAGAAACCCTGAAACCGCAACCCCTAAACCCCAAACCCTGTCCTTTTCATAAAGATCCTACTATTTATGGTGCTATATTAGGGTATAGGGCTTCTTTGCAAACGACCCGAAACCATGAAGGAACCCTCACGGAACGGAAAAAGCCCTGATCGGCGCTTATCCCTAAGGCTCCATGTGCTCATGTAGGGTTCCTTTAATCCTATCTGGCCTCTGCCATGCTACTTCAGACACCGTGCTGCTTCAGTTAAGCGTTCTGCTTCGGCCTTGGTTTGAATTCAAAGCTCTGCTTCAAACTTGGGATATGCCTAAGATAGAAGCTTGATGTATCTGACTCTTAGGTGGTGCTTGCAGAGAGAGAGAGAGAGAGAGAGAGAGAGAGAGAGAGAGAGAGAGCGAGAGAGAGAGAGAGAGAAAACGGATCATGATTTGGGCCTGAGGTGAGTCATGTTGGGGAGACATGAAAGGCCCTAGAATGTTGCTGCACAAGAACCAGAATGACAATTTCCACGTAAATCATCAACAATACAGCATATCGCAGGACATCTATCATTCAACATGAGTCCTGGAACAAAAGACCGTAGAGAATCATATATAAGTACAATCCGCCATAGGTTTCATGTTTTCGATGGATGGGCTGCCGGCATATTTCGTCGCCATCTTGAGATATCATGATGCCTGTGTCCTGGAAGAGTCGTACATGACGACGAGCTCCGACCGCCGACGTTTGGATATTGTTGAATGTGCACCGGTCCCTTCCATATCGATGTCGGGAATCAGAGACTCTCAGCAGCATTTATCATTATTCTCACACGGCAGGCCAGCGGTGGTAGGATTTATTGGGGCACTTGACCATGACTGAGGATGGCTTGATTTCCCAGTTTGCTCCGACGGAGATCGGCATCGAAAGTAATCGGTGTGGTGCAAAGCCCTGGTAGGGCTGGTCGGGCTGGCCAGACCATGTGGCTGCGAGAATAGGCTGGGCGGCCAGGAGCGGCTGGGGCCGCTGAGCATGGGACAGGGCTCCCGCTCTCATTTCATACTCCCGCGCGGTCCCTGCTCTTATTTGATCTTCAGGCACTGCGGGCTGGAGGGCCTGCTTAGTCTCGAACAGCGTGGATGTCGTTAAGCGCGCTGTCTGGGGCATTCTTGGTGTCTGCAACCTGGTTCTAGGCGCAGGAGTGCGGCACAAATGCGCGCCCACCGCAGGGAAACAGCTGAGACAGAATGCTTGGTGGCGGTAATGCCAAATTAGCCTAATTAATTAGTTTGGGTCATAGGGATGCGACGCCGTTAGTGCATGCTGCTTCGGATTCGTGCTGCTTCGTTGTGCATGCTGCTTGGACATGTCGGACGCGCGCACGTGCGCGCGCGAGACCGTTCCCCGAGCGGCGAAGCAAAAAGCACAGCTGATGCAGCATGCTTAGGCACGCTCAGCTTTGCTACCCATACTATGGCTGGAGCAGCGAAGACCTGGCTGCAGGCCAGGCTGGAGTAGTGGGCGAAGTTGTCTGGCTGCATTAGACCGTGCTGCTTCGTTAAGCGTGCTGCTTCGTCATGTGTGTTGCTTCGTTACGCGTGCTGCTTCCTTACGCATCCTGCCAATTAGCCATTCGAGCATCTTTGGAGTGACTGCGCGTTATGCGTGCTGCTTCGTTATGCGTGCTGCTTCGTTAAGCGTGCTGCTTCGGTAAACGTGCTGTTTCGTTATGCGTCCTGCTTCGTTATGAGTGCTGCTTCGATATGCGTGCTGCTTCGATATGCGTGCTGCTTCGAGTTGGAATCCAAGGACATCCGCCGATCCGGTGGAGCAAAGCAAGCGGCTGCAGCGCTTCGAGATTAAGCTGAACATCCTGGATCATGCTGCTGTACCCGGGAAGCATATATCGGCGAGACCTCCATGGTGCAGGATGCTAGAAGATCTGCTGCTAAGATGGAGTCGCATCGTTCCCGATTGCTCCTGCGCCAGTGCGCTTGAATAGGATGTGCTGGACAGTTTCCTTCAGATGCCAGCTCCACCAACGTGGTGCCAACGGAGGATGCTCTGGTTTGTGATGCGGAGAATCAGGCGTCTCCTTCTGCCAGCACTCCTTCTTCGACAGACTGCTGTCCGCAACCTGATCAAAACCACGAATGCAAAAAATACGAGGGGTCTTCGAAATCCGCCAGAAGCCCCAAGCTGAAGCAGCATGCACAAGCGAAACAGAGCGGGTGTTGAAGCAGCATGGCAATGGCCATATATGATTTAAAAGGTTCCTTGAAGGGGTCCTTTAAAGTGTTCTATAGGGTTTAGGGTATAAGGGTCCGTGGTACTCATGTAGTATATACTAAGGCCTTGAAGTCTTAAAGTACATATATATTATAAGTATCTTCTACAGATATTTGTACATGGAGCCTTTGGGTATGGTAACCCCATAAGGTAACCCTTTAAAAGGAAGCCGTATAGAACCCTTCAAGGAACCCATATAGTATCCCTATATTAAAAATTAAAAACCCTGTAAGCTTCTACTTCTGGGCCTGCGACGAATGACCTTGTCAGTACCCGTGAAGAACCGTTATATATATATATATATACACTATATATATATATATAGATAGATAGATAGAGAACCCGTGTAGTTTTAAAACCCTAAAAGCAACAACCCCTTACTCCTGGGCCTTGCGAATGACCTTGTCAATACCCGGCAGCTCCTCCCAGGTCTCAGCGGCCTGGATGGTACCTGGCGGGCTTCACGCTGTCTTTATAAGTTTCTTTAAGGGTTCCTTTAAGGGTTCTTTCAGGGTTCCTTTGAGGGTTCTGCAAGAAATGTACAGGGTTTCAGGATTTGCTGTTGAGGGTTTAGCGCAGGGCTTCGGGGTTGTGAGTTTACAAGGGTTCATGACTTTCGAGCTTTTTGAACCTAAAACACACACACACACACACACACACACACACACACACACACACCCTGTCTCTATAAGCCGACAAACTCTATATACATGACAAAACAATAAATACAGCCCCTCTTTAATTGGTCCCCTGAACGCTGCCCTAAACCCTGAACCCTAGCCCTAAAGCCGAACTAAGCCCTCAACACTCATTCCTAAACCCTGAACCCCAAACCTTCGAATGGTCTTTTGGGCCCCTTACCTTTCAGTCCGGAACTTGAAGAAAATTGCGCGCCACCAGAGCTCGTTGCCTCGACAAGGTGCAAGGAAGTGGACGGGTTCCTTCTTAGGTACCTACGGTTTGGGTTGAGGGTTATTGAAGTGGCGCCTGGGGTTTCTGGGTCTGTGGTTTAGGATTTAAGGTTCAGGGTTGGGGATGGCTTTACAGAAGAGGTCGTCGTGGGGCCTGTGTCGGCGCATACAATGCTTTTGGTTTTATTTCTAGTCTGTTAGGGCGAGTTCTGATTGAACGTTTCAACAAGCCCTGACTGTTTGATGCATGCATCAGTTGCTACACTCGTCAGTATATATATATATATATATATAGCTTTTGAGATTCTGTGCGAATTGGTCTTTCTTGTCTTTTGGATACGTTTACCTTGGAAGCGCTTGGAGCTGTTAGAAGCAAAAACTAAGCCCCCCAAGCAACCTGCTCTCCATCTTTAAAGGTACCTCTACGGGATCACTCAAGTGTACCTTTAAGGTTTCCCTTAAGGGTCCTATGGCGGATGAGGGGGTCGAGGGGTATAGGGCTTAAGTCTAGGATTCGGGTTTCTTGGAACAATACTAACTAACTTGTAAGACAGTCTGGCCGGACAACCAGAATCAACAACTCGACAAGTAGCTGCATATATGAAGCACATGGTGACCCCTAACTATCGACTAGCGGATGCTTGAACCAAAGCCAACTAGGGAGCGCATCTGCTTCGCTTGCAAATGCAGGGCTTGCTTGGTACTTGGTGCGTGGGGGATTGATCTCGACTTGGTTGCTGCTCTCCCCACCAGAGCTGTAATGAATATAGGTGTGGCTGGCTAGCACTCTCCACAGACTGGACCCTGTCTCTCTCTCGTACTCCCACACGTGCGATCCTATGCAGGCAGAACCGGCGGCCGTTCCTTTTGCACTCACTGCCGGCGGCGGTTCGTCTGTGCAACGGATAGCTCTGATTGCTCAGGATAGAAGACACATATAGCACTTAGCTATGGGCATTGACTTGAGCCAAACGTTGCGTTGGCGGTCACATAGAAAGGTAAAGATGAGGGATGCGTAGCATGCCCCCTAGAGTCGAGGGACGCGTAGCGTGCCCCCTTCTCCTGCACTTTACACGGTCTTGCTCACAGCTCTTATAGTGACACCTTAGAACTTGACAAGGCATCGCAGTCCGTTCGCACCCCCCATGAGTTGCGTCTCCGACGCTGCTCACCCGGAAGATGGCACGATAGGACAGAAGAAAATTCCGCCGCAACGTTGACATTGAAAATCAGAGCTTTGTATCCCAATTAGAAACGTTGTGACACTCATCTACGTCAGTAACGACCCCCTGAAATGACAAACGAATCAGGCGTCACCGAAGAAAGAAGCATTCGCGATGGCATTCCACAGGCGAAGCTCAGAGGTCACGAACTGATAGGCGTGGAAGATCAGGCGTTGTCTCGCCACCATCTTCGCGTTGACGTAGGATCGCGTTCCCAGGGCCGGAGGTTCTCCTCTGGATATGGGTTCCTTGGCTTTCCCTTGTCCTTGCCTTTGTTTCGGCCTTTGGCGGCGATGTAGTCGTGGTAGGAATTGGTGTTCCAGCCACCATGTTGCTCGCCTCCGGTTCTTCCACGCCCTTTTGAAGGTCCCTTGGATGAAGAAGCGCTTTCACGTTCCTCCGTAGTGACCGGCGTGTCCAGAATGGAAGTACCACCTGGAGGCAGATAATCAGCGGCCGAAATGTGGTGTAGGGCCTCTGTACGCCTTGTCGTCGGGTTTTGCTGTCTCTCATTCTTGGATCTGTTCAATCTGTCCATAAAGTGCGCAGGCATTTGGATGCTGTGATCCACTAGCAAGGCGATGGTCTGGACTGACTGATCAGAATGAGTTAGCAGAATGCCGACAGGGTCGATGTACAAGAAGTCCACTGGTCCAGTTGGCGTTGGTCGTAGCACCGAGAATTGCTGGTGTCCCGTCACCATTGGGATCACCTCGCATAGGACGTTCAGGCAACAAAAGTGCATTGCCTTGACATCTTCATCCCTGTCGCTCTTCAAGTAAGTAGTAGGGCTGAAGTTGTCCCTGCCAATTCCCATCATGTTGGCTCCCCGTACAAGTAAAGAAAGCATCTGGTTTGTGCGGAAGCGCTTCAAGGTGTAAATCCCGTTGGGATCATACTGTTTGAGGTTCTCAGGTTCTTTCGCGAAGCGAATGATCTCCTCATCAGTCACATCCCTGCTGACACCTGTTTCCTTGTCCACTGCTGCCAAAGATCCCCACTTTCCAAGCACATCATAGCGTTGGCCAAGCGCGAAACTTTCCCTCATCTGAAACAACGGCATAGTCGCCCACTTTGCGAATCCTGACCAAGCTTTGTAGATGGATCGGCATACCACGTATGCCATGTACGACAGAGCGGTCATGTTCGCATCGATGCAATGAGCATTTCGCTTTCCAGAATAGTAGGATGGCTGCATGGCGGTACGTGCAAGTTGTAGTTCAGGGTCGATGTTCAAAGACTGGCCGGTAAGGAAGACGGGACGACGTTCCTGTGCGATTGCTTCCGGAACTGCGTCATCGAAGTCCTCTTCAGGCTCAACGTCCATTTCTTCATCAGGTTCCTGTTCTGGATCGTCTTCCGCAACGACAGATGGTTCTGGGATTTCTTCAGGTTCCGCAACGGTCTCTACCTCCATGGCTTCCTGCTCCTCTTCGGGCGCCTCAGGCACTGCGGCTGCTGCGGCTTCCATTGTCTGAGCAATGAAGTCACTGGGGATCTCCGTAGGAGTCTCCCGTTGTGGAGAACCTTGGTAATATCCGCTTGAAATGAACTGTGACCAGCAAGACGTGCATCGGGAGAAACATGCTGGAACGATGTTGTAGCATGCCGGGCATACCCTCATTCTCCGTCCATCCTCGTCTCTGCGTAGGTCTTCGGGTCGCCAATTCTTGATGACAAACTTGATTCCCTTGTCCATGTAGTGATGCCGAACCGTGTTCTCCCTGTGGGACTCCAGGACAGT